CATTCTAATACTGGATAGCATGGATACCCACACTCCCTGACAGTGGTCACAGGAGGGACTTTTTGGGGCCACTGAACCTAGAAGACTCTTTTCAAGTAACCCCCCTCCCCCATGACTTTTAAAGTGTTGAATTCCATCTCCTTCTCCCACAATGTCAGGAGCATACAGACACAGTGCTGGACCAAGTTGAGGGACACCATTCTTCATCCCCTTTTGTCTTTAGAACAAACAGATTGGCAAAATTCTTGCTTCTCTTCCAGAGATTCAAGAGATTCTGGTTGCTATTTATCTTGTCTAGTAAGGTATTCAGACTTTTCATGTCTAGCCTATCAAATGCTGCCCTAAATCCTGGCAAGTATTCATCCAGCTCACACTTTTCATAACACTTTTTTTTTCTTTTTTGAGATGGAGTCTCACTCTGTCACCCAGGCTGGAGAGCAGTGGCACGATCTCAGCTCATTGCAACCTCCACCTCTTGGGTTCAAGCGATTCTCCTGCCTCAGCCTCCTCAGTAACTAGGATTACAGGTGCACGCCACCATGCCTGGCTAATTTTTCATATTTTTATGAATATGAAATATGTTGGGGTTTCACCATGTTAGCCAGGCTGGTCTCGAATTCCTGACCTCACGTGATCCACCTGCCTCGGCCTCCCAAAGTGCTAGGATTACAGGCATGAACCACTGCGCCTGGCATCGTGACATTCTTTGTGTGAGCTGTATGAAGGTCACAGGAACCAGCAGAAGACCTATCTGCAGCTCCAAATGGAACAAACCATGCTCATACCAAAACAGATTTGACCAGATAAAGACTCTATTTCCTTTTGCAATAGGATTGGTTGAGGGCAGGAACAAAGGGACTCACCACATTGCCTTGTACTGTCTTTGATCTGGGACTTCTCTCATCTTTCCTCTTGACTGAGATTCTGTGCTGAGGAGACCACATTATATCCCTTGTAGTACCTGATATGTAGTTGATGCCCAACAAATATTTATCTCAACATTTATAATCATCGTATTTAATGTTTTTGTTATAGTCTTCAATGAAATGTCTCCAAGTGTTTTGAATTTATGAATAACATACATTAGGCTTCGGAGATTCTGCTACAGTAAATGTTTTCCTGTGGAGGAAATACATGAGTTTGCTATGAAAATCAAAGTTCCTGTACTAAGATATTTTACTCTGGATGTAAAGATACTTGGCTGTTTATTAGGCTGCTTACTTAACCTGTTATTTTAAAGAAGGAAAAAATAAGCACAAGCAATACACTTGTGCAACAGTGATAGAAAAAATATACTTTCAAAACTAGAGAAAGATTGGGTGATTCATTTAACTTGTTTTTCAACACCAATGTCTATACCCAGTGAAATGTATGCTAGTTTAAAGAATGAAAAAATGCTGGACACAGTGGCTCACGTCTGTAATCCCAGCACTTTGGGAGGAGGCTGAGGCAGGTGGATCGTTTGAGGCCAGGTGTTCGAGACCAGCCTGGCCAACATGGTGAAACCCTGTCTCTACTAAAAATAAAAAATTAGCCCGGGGTGGTGGCACGCACCTGTAATCCCAGCTACTCGGAGGTTGAGGCATGAGAACTGCCTGAACCTCAGTGAGCTGAGATAGTGCCACTGTACTCCAGCCTGGGTGACAGAGCAAGACTCTGTCTCAAAAAATAAATAAAACAAAATAAGCCACATAAATGAAAAAAAAAATTAAGTCTCTTTTTTCTTTTTTTTTAAGGAGAAGAGAAAATTAGACTAGGTTTGAAAATCTCAGCTGCGGAAATCTGGCCCAGACCTTGCCTCTTGGTAGGACTATATATATAGTGCTTCCAGCAGTAGACTGGTAAGAGTCATGGAATTTTTACATCAATGTTGCCTGAGGTTCACAACCTTCTAATTTTTGAGGTGCTGTCATAAAAAAGTCAGGCAAAAAAGGGGTGTTTTGCAGACAATTTGCACAGGGATATCCTTCTCACGTCTGCATGCCTTAATCCAGGCCCATTTCTTATATTGCTCAGGGCTCAGTGTGTTACAAAAAGCATGAGCTGCCCTACACAGAACCCAACTGGGAGGACTATACCAGCCAAAGAAATGCCTCTGAAGTTAACCAGTAAATTATTTCTCCTCTCTCAGGTCTCTTCTTTTTACTTTCCATAGAACTGTTCCTAGGGAAGACTGACATAATCACATGGTTAAAATCCAAGGGATTCAATATTCCTATACTTTAACTATGTGTATTTTAAATAAAAACTTAGAGTAGATGTTCCTCCTCAGTTTTTAAAAAATATCTGAATTCTCCAAAGTAGAAGCTGGGCAATTTATATCCTTACCAGGGAGTGTTTCCAAACCATTCTCTTGTAGACAGTGTTGAAAGTAAGGAAGATTGGAACGTGTCCCAGTAAGAAGCAGCTGAGAGGCTTAGAGAAAGTCCCTCAATCCAGCAAAATCCAACATTTTAAAAACAGAAGTGAAAACAGTTTTACAAAGGCATTGCCACCCTCACCACTGCACACAAGCTTTGTTTGCTGTTGTCAGTAACATTGTAAGTACTCCATCTTTGGGCCTTGGTTAATGCTACTACACCAGGTTCCTGGATCACCCAAGAAATTTCTTCCTAAATTGGGAACTGTAACTATCTGTTGATACTCAAGGCTCTCCGAACAGCTGTCACTCGAAGGGGGCCTCTTATCTTTGTTTCAGCAGAATAGAAGCAGACATCCACTGCCTTCGGCAAAACAGGGGGAGCTGGAGGGAGGGATCTATAGCAGCGACTGCAGCAATGAAGACAGGTCAGTTTACCTGCTAGAAACAGAAATGCTCTCAGAAGGTTCAGGATATGACTGGAAAACTTGATTGCATCTACCTTAGTTTGTACAAGTGGTGCGTCTTGGAATATACATTCCCTGATTAGTTTAGATCAAAATGGAGCTGACACTCAGGATCTCCTGTAATACTAACCCACATGCTTTCCACGGTGCACATCTATTTGTCCACAGCCCACACTCTGTTTTCTTGCTATAATGTATTCTTTGAGCATGGTTTTGGTGGGTGATGGGAAATATTCTGAGCCAAGGCAAGATGCTTTTCTCGAAAGAAGGTGGTCGTATTGCTAAGGAAAAATATTCATGCAAGTGATCACCAATCTGGAGATTTTCCCCCAAGTCCCAGAAGACCAGGTAGCTACAAGTATGAAGAGAGGACATATTACCAACCCAGAGTTTGAACATTTAATTAAGCTCAGTAAGATTTAGCATTTCTATGAAAGGAACTACAGTAGAACTTCAACCCTGCTTTTGTTTATACCAAATAAAGGACTCATCTTCTTAACGTATTGGATTTCATTATTTGCATAACTTTTTACTGACCCAGTTTGCCAAAAAACTTGCTGTTTGGTCAGCCTATCAGAAATCAGTAAAACGTGTTCTCTGATCGCATTTATCAAAGACTTTGAGTGGCAGTCCTACACCAGTATGGCTTTTGACCTGGTTATGTTGTATTCCTGCCTCTTAAGAATATATTCATCAGACATATTTGATCTGTGTGCCAATGAAGGGTAGAAATTCGTTAAGGACAGCATTAAGAGACAATGGAAAGACAAAGTGCCAAGCACACTATGTTTTCCAAAGCTTTACACTGGAAAGCTTAAATATTAATAGATATTAAATATATATTAAATAGATTTTATGATTAAAAACAAAATGATTTTTTGTTTTTTTCATCTAACCATTTTGACAAATTCAGATACTTTTCACTTAATATTTGAATATATAAATCTAATTTCTTCCATGTTTTCTCCCCTCTGAATCTTCTCTCCCTCTTTAGCTCACCATTTGAAAGATATGTCAGTCCTATTTTTATATAAGCAATTACATTAGTGATATGTGTGCAATCATCTTTAAGATTAAAAGCAAATTAACGCTGGCTTGTCAGTCTCTCCGTAAAGCTGTTTTCCATCTCAAAGGTTGTGATCCAAGGTAAGGTCCAGAAACAACTGAGATTGTTTTACATCTATGTATTAGGTTGGTACAAAAGTAATTGTGGTTTTTGCCCCTACTTTTAATGGTAAAAACTGCAATTACTTTTGCAGCAACCTAATACAATTCTAAGTAATGAAGACATATCTTTTATAGGCTTCAATAAGCAACAGATCAGCATAATGTAAATATCTGTATTTCATAGTGAGTTTGAATATTCCTTGTCAAAAATGCACTTGTACTTTGAAGTTATTATGTGTGTTTAGGTTATTGTGTTGTCAGAAGGCTGGAGTTATCATAGCAGAGTTTTTATGACAAAATATTATAAGCCTTGTAAATAGTTAAAAAGATTGTCCACTAATGTCTATTTGTCTTGCAAAATTTGCAGCAGTTCTACTAGTAATTTTCATCACTTGCTCTTTCCACCTCTAATCATTCTCAGTCTCCTCCATTAGATCTTACTGACTCATCACATATAAACAGTTTCCTCGGCAGAAAGGGTCCGATAAAAATTGAAGACCAAGAGGTAGAGGCTGTTGGAGCCATCATGAATTCCAGTCCTTTTGTTGTTATTGACTTTTCTTTTTTTTTTTTTTAAAGGCACGCCCTTGACTTTTTTTTAATTGTTAAAATGAACCAGTTTTTAATTTCAGGCAGCAAAACCAGTTACTGCAAAAAGTCAATAATCAAAAATCAATGTATAACTGGTTTTCATCACCTGTAGAATGTTAGGTTTATCCCCCTCCAGTGCTTAGTGATTCTATTCTGTAGACCTAAAAAATATTGCCTCTTTTCTACTTTAAAAAAAAAATCATTTATTTATTTTTTTGGGACAGAGTTTCACTCTGTTGCCCAGGCTGGAGTGCAGTGGCATGATCTCAGCTCACTGCAACCTTTGCCTCCTGGGTCAAGCGATTGATTCTCATGCCTCAGCCTCCCAAATAGCTGGGATTACAGTTGCCCACCACCATGCTCAGCTAATTTTTGTATTTTTAGTAGAGACGGTGTTTCGCCATGTTGGCCAGGCTGCTCTTAAACTGACCTCAAGTGATCTGCCCCCCTTGGCCTCCCAAAATGTGGGGATTACAAGTGTGAGCCACCGCGCCTGGCCTGCCTCTTTTCATTATTACCTGCCTGCTCTCAGTATGCAACACGGCAGTACAACTGACAGTGAGGTGCTTTGGCATATCAGATAACTTTTCCAGTTGGTCAAGGATTCCTTCTCTCTTTTCCTCATTTCTGAACTGCAGCACAGGAAGTACTAAAGTAGTGGCTCAGGACAATGTTGTCACATCAGGAATGGCAGAGGTGTTTATGAGGATCATGATCCTCTCAGCTGTGTACCTCAGAAGGATCTCCTGAAGCCCTGGGTTTGACGCAGAAACCTGACATAAGAAAAAGACCTGGGGCAGGTATATATCTGGCTCTTCTCCCTCTCCTCCCATAAAAGATTAAGAAAAACTGATGGAATGATTTCAGTGTTTCATTGCCACAAAACTACAGCCATGAGTTTGTTTTTTCTTTAAGTAATCTTATGAGGCTAGTAAAGGCCTCTATCTTGATTAATGATGATCATCCTATGACATCTGGACATGGCGGCTTGACATGAGTTTTCAACAAAGAAAATTAGGCTCTGAAAGACATTTCTCACCTGAAACTCTCAATGTATTAAAATGCATTTAAAAGTTACTTCTGGGAAACATATTAAATAGGCCAATCATTTAATCATTAGCTAATTATTGAACCCTATAAAATACGGTATAATGTCACCCTGACGTAAAGCAACATCAAAATTAGTGCATCATTTATAAAGTGAAGTATTATTTGCCTTCAAGTGACAAATTCTATTGCCAAAAAATACCACTGTACTTCTAGTAAGTGACACTCATTTTAATAGACCCTACAAAAATACAATATTTTCAATGTCCCCATAAAACAATTAACTTACAAATATTATTCTCAGAGCTTTGGTGACATCGCTAAGTGATACTACTGTGAAAATCCTCACACAATACTTGAAACACTAGCAGGTAAAGTAAATTCATTATATAACAAAAGAATTATGTGAAATTATGAAAGTGAATGCATGCAAACAACTCTGGGAAATTATCCTGGAATTTCAAATTAATATTGTAATCAAACTAATGACTAATATGAAAGATAAATATTTTGAAGGATTATAAAATAAATTTTGATCATTTATACAGGAAAATAGCTTCAATGGAAAAGTAAATAATTCTACGTTAACCATTCTTGTCTTTCTCTCCAGTGAGAAAGCATTCAGGATTTTACATACCTTGAAACAGTTTTTGGAAAAAAAAGTATTTTATCTATTTCTGCTCAGAAGAACAGCCATTTAAATTAATAATACAGGTAAACCACAGCTCTGAGAAATTATATTTGAAGTTTCATATTTAAATACCAAGGATTTAAAATCACCCACCATTACTTTCTAACAGCAGTCTTTCTTAATGATAAATTTTATCAATTTCTGAAACTCATTTTAAATAATTTAAAAGTAGCAAATTAGATTAAGCAACACACAAATAAATTCCACATTTACAAGTAAAGAAATCACAGGGGCTACAGTTTATAATCAACATAAACTTGAAAGAAATAAAGCAATACCTTTCCTGCCACCCATCATCCACTGCTTAAATTTGTGGTGAAAAAGACTTAACTACAATGACCTTTAGTCTGTTTCTAAACGCTGCATGTATTGTAATTAGCTAAAGGCATTGAACGAATTAGCTCATCCTATTTTTATTCGGGTCCCAGAGATAAATGGCTAATTTATGAAATATTTCACTCTGTGTTATGAGAATTTAGCAAATGAATATGGAACCAAATATAAACACTTTATACCATATGTACAGTTACTTTCATAAGGCATTATCATGTAATTTTTATTGAAAAAGATTCAATATAGTAAAGTCTTATTTTAAGATATATTTTTTCTCTATCCGAGATGTTTAGCTTATGAAAATATTGTTTTTCTCTATATTCTTTTTGTATATATGCCAACATATACCTTGTGCTAGAAACATTTCATGGGAATTACAATTCTTTATATTTGTATTTTCTATATAAAGGCATATACAACTTTGAGGCAGTGTTTCTGATGGAGAGCAGAATTCATAAAGAGCTTGTGTGTGCTTCCGTGCTCCGAAATTATATGAAATCCACTTTGAGAAGAAACTTATTTGATTAATAACAAAAACAAAAACAGAAACAAAACTGCACCAATGCACAGCCAGAGGCTGACAATTAAAACTAATACATAACCACATGAACATCATATTTATAGAGTTAACATTGTTAAGGATGATCAGTGCTAACATATAGTATTATACATTTGGCACTAATGTTTGCCATTGGTCCAGCAATTGGCAAAGTTTGTTTCTATGTATAAATTTATTTGTGAACATTAGGTCTGGCTAGACGTATCTTCACTATTTATAAAAAATATTTAGACAGTAAGCTCACGTTGAATAACTAGGTCTACTGTGTTCTGGAAACTCTTCAGTAGCAATACAGCTTTTTCATGTTCCATATGTACAAAACTGTGTCCATTTGCCTGTAAATACACAAATAGAACAGCTCAATCAATGCAAACTATTATCACTGTATCGTTTCTATTCATGAAATTCATGGGAGCATTGAGCAACAAAAAGTTATCAGTTTTTATAATTCACAATGGAATCGTAATTATGGATGTAACTAAGTTTATCCAGATTCAACCCAATTTATTGATTCAACAAATATTTATGAAGTACCCAATATGTCTTTGCCACTGTGCTAATCATAAATGTACCCTGGTAAATAACAGATAGATGTACTGGTAACACAGTAGTTCAGTTCCATTGTTGTTGTTCTGATTTGTTTTTGCAGGGACTGATTGTGGTGATTTGGAAATGGGCATATAGCCCTTACCTTACAATTATCTAAACACTAATGTAAACTCATCAGCATGACCAAATATTTCAATCATGCCAAACATGACTGGACACTTATCGTAAATTTAAATCTTATTTTGACTCACTGGGAAGCTCTTGGTTTATACACTTTTATATTAAAGAAATATTTTTTATTTCCCTTATTGCTAAATGCAAGTATACTTATTATCTACACCAGTGGTTCTCAGTTCAATCCAATATACCTAAGGGATGTGTTCCCTGGGGATAAAGCTCACTGACATTAGTAACAGAGGACATGCCTGCTGTCTTCTGGTTAAGAATAATAGATATAAGCAATTGATACTCAGTTTAAACATAGCCTAAGGTTACAATTTCAGAGTCCCATCTGTCTATTATGTGATATTTATGTCACAAAATATACATTGTTCTCTGTAGTGAGTGTTATGGGTCCTTGATTTTCTCTACATTAAGTTGTAGATTGTCTTGATTGGAATGATTTTTATTATTAATACAGAAAGAAATGTATCCCATAAGCCTTCACTGCCATAAAGGCAAAATAAAATACAAGCTTATTGAAACTTAATAGAAATAAATCTTGGCAACTGAATGACTGACAGTTATGTAACTGTTTTCCTTGCTGTTTGAGACTCAGTTGATTCAGAAAAGAGTCAGTCAAGTTGACAGTTTGGCTGAGTACAGGTAATAGAGCCAGTTCACTGGTTGACTTTTTCAATTTTCAAGGGACTGGTACTTATTTTGAGCACACATTGCCTTTGTTTTTTTTACTATTTGTATGCTTTCTTAAAATATGATTAATATTTCAAATAACCAATCATTTAATTCTTTCTTTAACTCTTTCACTGACTTTAGCTTTTTCAAATTTAAAGCAGCATATCTCTAGAAATACCATACAACCTTTCAAACTTAGATGAAAGTTATCTGATACATTATATCTTATCACTAGTTCATTAAAATTAATTGACTAATGATGTGGTAAAGAAGATTCCAAAATATTGCATTTGTAAACCATAGTAAATCTTCCAGTAAAAAAATACTAGGTGACAGAATAGAAATTCTTGGAAATTCATGTAATTAGAAGTATAAATTTGCTTTAAATTAAAGAAACCTTAAATGCATTCCTTAGCAACATTTAATAAATGAAAATGCCTATAGAAGTTGGCATTGGCTATTCCAGTGTCAGAAAACAGTAGTTGAGTAGAACTTTGGGTTTGTTACACAGCTCAAATTTCTTGCTCTGCGTTATACGAAAAATCAGACAATGAAGTTACATTTGTGTTATTTCTGATCAGTTGGTGATAGAGAGTGAAGAATACAGCATATGGTATATTCTTTTTTCTATTCTTCACCTGTTTCAGGCATCAGGAACATAGCAAACTTGAATGAAATAAATATTAATTCCACTGTAGCTTTGAGGGATGCACTGTGTACCTTAATGTCTTCAATTTGACCAGAAGTTATACCTTCATTGTGAAATTAAAACTGAACTTTAACAATGGAGTTCTTGAATGTCAAACCATAATAATGACTTCCTGAGTATTCAGATTTCTCTACCTGCAGACTCAAACCTAGAATCGCAATGACTTAAAAATCCACTGAGAATTTTCAGGAAATTGTTCAAAATTTAAATATCTCACAGTTTTAGAAATAAAAAATTTTCTAGGATTTGGAGGCCATGAATGGGATATTCTTCATCATCATACCTGACATAATATCAATATTAAAAAATATCAGTGTTAAGGGCAAAAGGGGTATAAAACTTAGAAAATCAATCATAGCTGTTAATTTTGAGTGGTACTTTTATCATGAAAGATCTTCAAAGAGGTCTATTCTCAATGTGATTACTTCAGCATTTTTTTCAATCAAAGAATGTCTGTTTTGTACTCACTTCTGTAGGCATTGTGCCAGGCCCTGGGGATGGGAAATAAGAAAGAGATGAAACAAGAAGGCTCCAATCAAAGAAGCAGCCATTCAGGAGGGCCATTCGTTACGTGCAAATAAGTCATGCAGATAACTAAAATTAACATAAAGTGTCTTATGTAGAAAGAGCCCTCAGCATACGTATGCTGAACTGAATTAATATCTGAAGAGGGAAACAAAGTCCTAGAGTAGCTCAGAGGAGGGCAAAGAAGAGAGGGACAGCTTCTCTTTGCTGTTTCTCTGGGGCATAGAACAAGTGCAATTCCCAAGGGACCACAGTCCTTGTGCTGTCTCATTCCTAGAGTCTCCTCCAGTCCTCAGTATGTGAACGGTTGTCTTTTTTTCAGATAAATTCTGTAACAGTATGTGCAGAGTAAAGTGTTCTAAAATGGTATCTGTGTGGAATCATTTTTCTAAGAAATAAAAAGCAAAAACCTGTGAATTGAGACCACAGGCTTTAGTGTGGGAAGCAACCATAAAATAAACTTATGTAGAGGAGCTATTTTTTTTTAAACAAGGCATTAGTCCAAAAAACATTTTCTCCAAAAGAAAGAGAGATAGCCCAATATGTAGAACATTTAAACAGATCTTTTTGGGAGAGAGACAGAGAAAGGGAGAGAGGTGCAAGGAAGATTGCACCCAGAGAACCAGCTTACTTGCCAATACCTTCCCACCCCACTGTGCTCATGAAAGCCCAGTGTGAAAACTCCTGGTTTAGACTAATCCTGTCATTTTATAAATGAAAGACCTTAATTTTAAAGAGATCAAACAACTTGTCTGAGGTCAAACAACCAGGGAAAGGGCTAGGGCTGAATCACCTGATCCCTAATACTCCTTCTTATTTCTCTCATTACTTCACCAAAATAATACGACCACAATCATGTCATGTGATTTGAGCTGACATTTCACTGGCCATGATAAAATAATGAACATTTTTCCCTTAAAAAAACTGTTGCTATATCACCTCCAAACATAATTCTGTCCTTTACGGTGGTTTGCAAGCTGTGATTCCCATTTAGATATCAGGTTTAATTTAACTTATTCTAAAAATATTGATAGAAATAACATTTAGTCCTAAATTAAAAATTTACAGAAATGCTGAACCTCCATTTTTATTATAGTTTCAACTCTGGCTTAATTTACTTGTTGTGGCCATAGGTGAGCTTTCTTGAAAGTAGAAAAAAGTAGGATATTGTTTTATTTGCTAGGGCAATGCTAGGAGACTTGAGAGGAAATAGATTAAAAAGAATGAAACTGTTAGTAGGTAGGATCTATAACTTTGGTAACTGATTAGACAAAGATATAAGAAAAAAACCCAAGGATCAAGTTGTGATGCCATTAACTGAAAATGGAATCCCTTCCTATCCTTAAGACAGGAAGACAATGGAGTTTGTGGTACTAACACATGCAAGGGAACCCTTCATCACGTATTTGGAAATCAGAGTGTGGAGTCAGGAAGGAGGTCAAGGTGGCAGCATCAGCAACAGAGGCTGGGTTTTATTGCAGCTTAGTATTAACAGATGGAATGCTGAGAGATTTAGCAGAAAATGAGTTTCAAAGGGAGCATTATGAAAGAAGGGAAATCTAACTGGGGAAACAGGATGAGGTTGCAGTCTTGGCAGTGTATATCAGAACTGAAAGACAGTGTTTGTTGTTGACCCATATATCTAAGAAAATCTGTCTGAAGTGAGGTAGGGAAAGGTGAAACAGTGCCAATCTTTCCTTCCAGATGAAGGTGGCTCTAGCTTGATGGCTGAAGTAAAAGACAGAAATTCCCATGGGTATCACTGCATTGAGGGAAGGGTATAAGACACCCTGGGCTCCTGAGAACCCAGACAGGAAGTGATCTGGGAAAGAGTCATCCTGAAGAAGGAGCAAGGTAGAGTGCTTATAAGGGCAATAGGAAACCCAAGAGAATCAAATCTCTTCTAGTGACACCAATTAACACTATTCTGTGTGTGCGTGCAACACAGAGGAAGAAGTAGAAAAAAGAAAGGGCTGGATTAATTCTAAGCTTAAATGTGGATCTGTTTCTAATAAACCAGGCTTCAAGATGTTGAGAACCACAGTTCAGGTTCTCATTCAGTGCCAGCGAGATCCCTTTTAAAACTTAGCTTTTAATATACCTTTAAAGCACATACCTTTAGTTTTCATGCTTTGTCAGTATAAATAAAAGATCATTAAAAACACATAAATAGGGCTGATCTCCCAGAAAGAAATAAACAGATTGGCAAGTTAGATCACCAAGTCAAATGAACATTAGGACTGTCTCTGTAATTCTGGTTCCCAGGCATATTTTGGATCTAAATTAGAGCTTTGGTGAAACTTAAGAGGCCTGTTTAAAAAAATCACAACTAGGTGCTGCCTGGGAGTGGCTTTAAAATATCAGAAGGACACTGAAAGAGTTATTTTAGAAAGCTTATTAAAGATCAAATGGGTTAATATATGTCAAGTGCTCACTGCTATTAATATTGTTTCACTTTACTTTCTTGAATTAAAAACATGTAATTTTTATTGTCACAAGAATAAAAAGAGAAAATATCAGAGGAAAAAACTTATTTCCCTTGCTTAGCCCTAATATTTTGAAAATTGAAAACATGAGAATCAGAGAGATTACATGAAATATCAAAATCATACAGATAGTGGCTAGGTAGGAATTTTTGCCAGTTGTTAAATCTCTGTATCTTGATACAATTTGTTTCCTTGGATGTTGTGAGCTTGT